GTAGCTTCCCTACACAAGGTGGTTATGAAATCTTGGTAGCTTGTTGATCTTGCCACATTAAAGGGAACACTGAAACCAGGAGGCCACTTCTACACAAAAACCAGTTCCTAAAATGGAGTTTTAAAGGAATTACTTTAGTAGATACCCAGAAGGCAGCCAAGTCAGATGAACATCTGGGGATTACATGTTTAACAGAATTTTTAACAAGTATGTTTATTTTTACTGATATATGCAAGAAGTGCCAGAATTCTGTTAAATAGCAGTTACTGAGCAATAAAGGCTTCAGTAGGCTTAGAACAAAAACAGAGATTGTAAGAAGAAATAGTTCTAAACATAGTGCCTCTAAAAGAGTGTTAGAATAGTTTTCATAGAAAGGAACAAAACAGATTAGATACTTGGAAACCCAAACCTCTTCAGAAGATAATATAGGTATGATACAAGAAAGAGATCCCTTTCTTACCTTTCACAATAAGATAGTTACAGAAACTTCAAGTCTCAGAGAAACTTCTGATTCTAGTCCTAGATGGGAAGAATAGATTACACCCTTTATAACTGCAATGAAAAGCTTTTTATGACCGAGGGGAAAAAAAAGTCAGCAAGTCACCATTAGTTTTATATACTCACTAGAGTATATAAGAACATGAACGAAAAACAATACTAAACTAGGATCATAGACAAGAAGTTAACTAAAAATAGCCCTTAAAGCCACAGCATAGTCTGCCTTTTATTTACTCCCACATTATGCTTGCTTATTATAAACCCATCCCTCTTCCAAACAACTTTACAGAGAGCCATAGAATAACATAATCCACACAGTAGCACCTGTATCTTGGTCACCTTGATAACAAAAATATCACAGCTACTTTTTAATGTACAAAAAAAGTAGAGTAAACAGAAGCTCCCAAGCAACTTCATTCATTCCAAACCAACCCAACAGCCTTCATCAGAAAACAGAGTAACAATAATCAGTCACAAGCATTCTTTATATAGTGCCACAATTACCTAATTATCACATTTGTCTTCCTCACCTTTGCCTGTGTTACTCCTCCCACTTTATCCCTTTCCTCTTACACTTCTGATTTTTTTCTTTTTGAATGTTCTGTCATTCATTTTTCACAGTATCTATCTTATTTGCCGATTAGTTTTCAGTGTTCTATATGGTATGTTATTATAGAATGCAAAGCCTTAACTTTATCTTTGGTGCTTTGAATACTATTTATCTGTCTTAATTATCATTTCCCACCTCATTTCATATACTCACAAAGGATCAAATGCTCAAAAACAGTTAGGCCCCTAAATGCCATTGATTTCACTAGATGTTAGCAGCCTAGCTCATGAGCATCCACCCTAAGGTCCTTACCATTATACCCCAATGCACAGCGGAGGGACTGTGGACCGTGCAGGTGTCTGGATGCTGGCCTTTTATAAGGCGATGAAGAAGTCTATGGCCCAAGTGCTGTACTGAGCTCTGTGACTGCAGATCCCTGCATCTCTGCTGAGTCCCATTGCAGTCATCTGCAGAATTGGGGCCTAAAATAGGAGCAGGCCAAAAAGGGGCCTCAGAACTGATATTTATAGGGATTTATATGGCTTTGTCAAGCCGGGCCTTAAAAACCTCTAAGGATGGAGATTCCACCACCTCCCTAGGTAACCCCTTTCCAGTGCTTCCCGACCCTCCTAGTGAAATAGTGTTTCCTAATATCCAACCTAGACCTCCCCCCTGCAACTTGAGACCATTGCTCCTTGTTCTGTCATCTGCCACCACTGAGAACAGCCTAGCTCCATCCTCTTTGGAACCCCCCTTCAGATAGTTGAAGGCTGCTATCAAATCCCCCCTCACTCTTCTCTTCTGCAGACTAAATAAGTCCAGTTCCCTCAGCCTCTCCTCATAAGTCATGTGTCCCAGCCCCCTAGTCATTTTTGTTGCCCTCCACTAGACTCTCTCCAGTTTGTCCACATCCTTTCTGTAGTGGGGGGCCCAAAACTGGATGCAATACTCCAGATGTGGCCTCACCAGTGCCAGAGGTTGCCAATCCCTGTTCTACACAATTTAAAATGGGACTAGAACCCTTTTTAGGTTAAGTTAAGGAGCTACCCTTACTTATTATGTTATTTGTAGGCATTTATGTGGTACTGATCACCATAGTATCTGAGAATTAAACAATCACTGGTAAATGAAGCCTCATAACTCACTGTGAGAAAAGGAAGTATCATTAACCCCACTGTATAAATGGGCAAACTGAAGCACAAGAATAATTCACATAGACTGATATCTAGCCCTATGCGTTGGCCACAAAACCAGCCTTCCTTGCTATAGCTTAATGATCAAAAGCATAATGTAATCAAGTAATCTGAGGATCAAATCCTGCCTTCAGTTATGCTCAGGCACCTGTAACTTGGTCTACCAGAATGGTATCAGTGCCCCACCATAGTCAAGAGATGTAAATAGGAGTGTGAAGAAAGGAAAGATGGTGGTGTGGCTATTAAGGGTATGCCTACACAGCAAAGAAAAACCCACAGCTGGCCCATACCAGCCAACTCAGGCTTGTGGGGCTTGGGCTGTGGGGCTATTTCATAGCTGTGTAGACTTCAAAAGTGAAAATCCAAAAAGTAAAAGTCCCAAAGACTTTCCAATTGAAAGTCCATGCGACTTGTGCTCTTAAATCACACAAGTGCTGTTTAAAATCCCATCCACAATGTACAAAATGAGTACATTGAGAGGGCTGCAGGAGTGGCAAAAAAGCTACTAAAAAGAGGGTGTAACTTAAAGTTAACCCCTGCCTTCTACAGTCTCTCTCCCCTCCCTGCACAGCTTCCAGAACCCAAGAGTCCAAGAACTGACTTTTGGAATCCAAGTGACAAACTCCAACTGCCACAGAACCTCACCAATGTCCACATTCTATATCCTCTCCTATTCAATGGTTTATTTATTTATTTAAGATTCAGGACTGTAATCCCCATTTTGGCAAGGGGTTAGACTAGATGACCCTTGTAGTCCCTTCTAACTCTATGATTCTATAGGAGCTAAGCACTCTAAACCATGTCTGCTTCCTGGTCATATTTCTAGTGTACTTCAGTGCTCATTTAACAACCTCACTGGTTTCACCGGGCATAAATCAGCACAAATGTTATCCCAGGGTGTAGAAAGTGTTATGCTGTTTTTACCTTTGTCAGCATGTTGCACATTTTGAAAACAGTAGGTGTCATTCTGGCATCAAAACAGACAAACAAAAACTCTGTCTGTTAAATTTATGGTCTGACTGAGAACTGCAACTGCACCATGTTTTCCTCAAGCCCAATAATAAAAACAGTTTTACTGTGCTCCTTATTTCTGTTGTTCCAGCCTCACTTACAACACTTCTAGATAAATATTTCTTGCTTTGATACTTTCCATTGGATTTTTCTAATTTTGTGCAAGTGTTCATTTTTTTCCTTCTAACTTTGGGTTTTGGGCAGTTTCTGGCTTCCTTCTGTTCTTGCTTACGTATGCTCTATTTGCGTTGTAACTTAAGAATTACTGTTGATCTGATGATACAGTTTTGCATCTGTGATGGGAATTAGGGGTTCCATTTTCTCCTCCTGTTGAATTGAATTGGTAACTTGATTTGTTTAGTAGTAACAATCACTTGAGTTTTGCTGGGATAGTAGTGTAGGAATGGTTCTTGGCATCTTTGCAATGGAATTCTCTGATAGATGTGTGCACTACTATTAAAAGTATACATTTGTGGCTCTCTTAAAGTCATGTCTGAGTATAAATTTTTAAGACTCTTGCAGAAAGTTCAGACTGCTGTACAGACTGATTAACTCAGTACCTTAATATTGGAAGAGGAGTATGTTTACGGCATGGTGACTTATGGAATTCGGTTATGCTTCTGCTCAGCCTTACAACGTATTTTGGAATTATGCTCTCTGTGTTTCTAGCAACAAGTGATAATGATGGTAGTAAGATTTAATTTTTGTTTTGCAGGAACATTAACTGATTAATCTTCACAATACCCCAGTGCCAACGAGGTGGTGGATACTATCCTCATTTTATACCTGATACACAAAGGAATGGACCCAGGCCATAGTCAGAGCTAACATTAGTATTAGGAAGCTGGGTGGATCTCTCCCTCACCCTGCCACCTGTCCCTTAAATTGTAAACCCTTTAGGTCAGAGGCAAGGTCTTCTCTGATTTGTTTGTACCCTACTCAGAACCCTCGAGACCCAACACTGACTAGGGACACTGGTTGCTACTGGAATAAAATAATAGTACTAATAGTAATTCTTTGAGGCAAGCAGCGGACATAGTGGGGTGAGTTCTGCCTAGCTCTGCCATGCAGGTGGGATTGGGGGTTCCCCTCTAGGGTGACCAGATAGCAAGTGTGAAAAATCAGGAGGGGGGCAATAGGTGCCTATATAAGAGAAAACCCTGAAAACTGGGATTATCCCTATGAAATCGAGAAATCTGGTCACCCTATTCACAGCTCCCCCAGGCACTGCCTAGGAAGCCAGGTTCCTCCTGCGGCTGGAACTAGTGGGTCCTTGTTCGGCAAGCCCTCAAAGATCCCCTCACACACACCCAGAAGGAAGGCAGAAGAGTCCCCATGAAGCTGGCATTGTGGGGTCCCCAAATCAGTTATCCTCCTCTACACAGACGCACAGCTGCCCCCAGCCACCGACCCTCCATCCCAGCTCGGGACACGATTTAAGCAAGTTACTTCACCACCCGATAGGGCTCCCTGCCCTTTTGGGGGCGTGGCCTGAAGGGGAGGGGACCAAGGCGTGCCCTTCTAACTCACGGAGGCGTGAACGAAGCGGTTCCGCTCTCTGATTGGACAAAGAGCGAGATGGCCAGGCCAGTGGGCTCTGCGGGATCTGTGCGGCGTTACCATTAGGGGAAGCTGGCGCCCCGCCAGCCAATGGGTGGTGTAGCTTGGACGGTGCTGTGCTCTGATTGGGTATAGGTTGAGTAGGCGCGGTGTGTTGTAGTGGGCCCGCTGCCCAATAGGCGTGTGGCAGTGTGAGGGACTCTTGGCGCGGCGGTTGTTTGCCCCTTTTGCGGAGCGCTTCTGTGCGGCACCGACGAGCCCAGCTGCTCCCTCCTCCCGGGACCATGGCGCTGCTCTGTAGTTGACGATTGTTTTTCCCCCTCACCTTCTTCTGCTTCTTTTCCTCCCTCCTCCTCTCTCTCCTCCACCGGGTCCCGGCTCGGACGAGCGGCAGCTCCCGGACCCCCTGTCCTCTCCCTCTGCCCCCATAGGAACAGGCTGTAAGGGAAGCGCGGGCGGCTTGCTGCCGCACCATGAGCATCATCGTCGGCATCGGCGGGTGAGAGCCGGGGGATGGGGGAGTTCGGGTGTGTGTAGGGAAATCGCTGGGTGGGTGGCCGGGAGGGGGCTGCGGGAGGGAACGCTCATGAGGAGCCTCCTGGTGACGCCTTCCTCCCGCCTGTGGTCTGCTGCAGCTGCCCCAGTGAGGTGGCGAGGTCAGCGCACGGGGCTGGGGTTGGTGGTGCCCGTGGCCTGCAGAGCCCAGCGCCGTCTAACGGTCCCTGTCCTGCCCTAGGGTCACCAATGGCGGCAAGACCACGCTGACTCACAAGCTCATGCAGGCCCTGCCCAACTGCAGCGTGGTGCATCAGGATGACTTCTTCAAGGTGAGTGGCCTGTGCGGGAACCTGTGCATGAGGTGACCCAGGACTCCTGGGTGCCCCGCTCCGCTTCCCGCTCATGGCCAAAGTTGCTTGTCACTGGCGCACCCTGTGCTGCTGGCAGGGGGTGACTGGGCTGGGGCCAGCTGTGTGGCTGGTGGATAAGCTCCTGGGCAGTGTCCTGATGACTTTCCACTTTCCTGGAGCACTCCGCGTTAGTGGGAAGATAAAGGAGCCAACTGCTTTATCACAGTCTTCTTACTGCTTCTTATCTTGCCACAAACGAACCCTGTGGTGGGTTAAGGCACTCACTGTTAGGATATAGATATTCAGGCCTGTCTGTAAAGGTCTGTACTTTAAGAATTTAGGTGTATTCTGATCAGTTAGCTAGTTATAGAGGTATAAAAGCCTCAAAATCACTGTCTGCTGGTGTAAGGGCCTTCTCTTACTGTGACAGTCTGAGGCCTTGTTCTTAGGCTAAGCAGCAAAGGCAGCCATAATCTGGGAAGTGTATGGTCACAGGCTCACATTCCAAACTAGTCACATTGAAATAAGATGCTTTTGGGCTGTTAAGAATAACAGGACAGGATTGTATTCCTATCACCTCCAGGGAAAGGGAAAAGCCTAGAAGATGTAAAAGGAAACTTAGTTTGATAGCATCCTGTCTGGCAAGAACTCACTTATCAATAACTGGGATGTGAAATCCTCATTTCTGTATTGTTCTATCTCTGTAGTCTCCACTTCCCTATTGTTTGTCTGTATGATCTCTGTCTGGTTCTGTGATTGTTTCTGTCTGCTATATAATTAATTTTGTTGGGTGTAAACCAATTAAGGTGGTGGGATATAATTGGTTAAAGAACCATGTTACAGTATGTTAGGATTGGTTAGTTAAATTTCAGTAAAATGATTGGTTAAGGTATAGCTAAGCAGAACTCAAGTTTTACTATATAGTCTACTGTCAATCAGAAAGTAAGGGGGGGATGGGGGAATTGGAATCATGTTTCGCTAAGGGAGGGGGGAATGGGAACAGGGACATAGGCAAGGCTCTGTGGTGTCAGAGCTGGGAAGGGGGACACTGAGGAAGGAAACTCGAATCATGCTCGCTGGAAGTTCACCCCAATAAACATCAAATTGTTTGCACCTTTGGACTTTGGGTATTGTTGCTCTCTGTTCATGCAAGAAGGACCAGGGAAGTGAGAAGGTGAAGGAATAAGCCCCCTAACACTCTTATGCAAAGGGATGTTTTCCAGTGAAGTTTAGGTCTTTAATCTGGCTTTAAAATGAATGTTGAGCTTTGCAGTAGCCGGTCAGACTAAAGCTGTTCTCTTTATCACTGTTTCAGCCCCAGGATGACATAGAAGTTGAAGATGGATTTAAACAGTATGATGGTAAGGCCCTGCTTATTGAACCATCCATGTAGAAATTGTAACTCTTAAAAGGATATCTGTTCTCTTTCCTATTCATGTTGCTTTCCTTCTGGTGACTCTTCTGATAGTCATAGCACTTAATTACTTTTCTGGGCTTTTGTCTTAGTTATTAGTGCCTTGGATATGGAAGCTATGATGAGTACCATCAATGCTTGGATGAAAAACCCAATTAAGTTTGAACGCTCACATGGCATCAATAACACCTTGGATGCCAAAATATTACAGTATTCAGGAGAGAGAGATGAAACAATCCATATTCTTATTGTAGAAGGCTTTCTTCTTTACACTTACAGGTAACTAAAGACTTACAATATGTCTGATAACTAGTAATTCTGGCTTGATATGTATTTTGTTTTCTATTAGGTAAAGTTGCAGGAAGTCAAACTGATTCTTAAAACTAGAGTTGGGCAAATAACTGATTTTTCTGTTTGCTGGTAATTCTGAAAAATACAAAATTGGTTTGAAACAAATCTAAAAATTGCAAAATAGTTGGCAAATTTTAAAAAATCCATATTGGGTCAAACAGAACATCCTATTTGTCCCAGAACATATTGTTTCGGGCATTTTTAAAGGGCTAGATTCATGAAATGGGCCAGGAGGAGGTGGATCCCCCTTGTAAACTTTGGTCAAGTGATTAGGGAACCCCCTGGGATGTGGGAGGCAAGGTTCAATTCTCCCCTCTACCTGATGTGGAGAAGGGATTTGAACATTGGTCTCCCACATTGCAGGAGAGTTCCTGACCCTCAGGCTATAGGATATGCAGGTGGCAGGTTTCTCAGTCTCTCCTGTTGAAACTGTTCCACTTCCTGTAAATGGTCATTGGAGCAGGGTCTTGAATGTTGGTGTCCCACAACCACCAAACTATAGGGTAATTCTCACTTTCCCTACCTCAATGACTAATTTATTGTCATTATGAATACATTAATCGTAACCACTAAGCTAAAGGTATTGAACATACCTACCTCTTACACAGTGTTCTTCATCAGCTTCTAATTCTCGTCACGATGCCTGTGAGCTAGGGAAGTATTAGTTCTATTTTATAGATGGAACTGAGGCACAGAGAAGCTAAATGACTTGCCACTTGGGTCTCTCAAGTCCTAGGCTAGTGCCCTTGCCACTGAACCACCCGGTCTTGCTCTGACCATTTTGTGAATTGCATCTAAGTCCTGGGACGGAGGATTTTGGCCAAAACTCTTTGGCATATTATTGTTAAAGTTGCAAATAGCTTCAGGTTGACTGAAACTGCAGTTTTTATTAATAAACCACGTCTAGAAAAAATTCACTCAGTTCTAAGTACAATTTATATGCTTAACTTTTTAAAGCGGCACCTAAAATTATTGGAATTGTCATACCGTCATCAGACAGCCCATGCAACTGGGTATCCTGCTGTCAATTGCCAATCAGAAATCATAGGAAGGTGTAAAAATCTCCACTAATGCTCTTACTAATGTTGCACCTTTAGTTCTTATGCAGATCAAATAGAGTAGCTGTAAAATATACAAAAACTAGAGAATTTCTTTTTCAGACCATTGATTGAGATATTCAACCATCGGTACTTCCTTTCCATTCCATATGAAGAATGCAAGAAAAGGAGGAGGTAGGCTTTGATGTTTTTTCTTAAATGAAGTAATCAGTAAGGTAATCTGGTAATTACTACATTTTATTTATAAAGCTTTATTTGGTTCAGGCAGCAGTAGAGGATGCTTGAGAGAGTCTTAGATTTACTGGGTTAGTCATTTAATTGCGTACTCCATGGTATCTGAGAAGTTCCTGCAAAGTTCTAGAAATATACTAGCTGGTATCAAAAGCCAATATATAACTGAAATGGGCCCCAAAGCTCAAAGGATGAGAGATGCAAAAGAACCTGTGAGGTCTGAATTGTTTGGGATATGGCTTTCCAGACAATCTCTTGACATTGTCTTCATTATTGAGTCTTCAGGATTTAAGAATCGCCTATATGAGAAGAGTTTTCTTTAATGGTAAAATTGCCAGTTAGTACTCCGCTATCTTTTCCCTTCACTCCTTTACGAGAAACTAAGCTTTTGGGCCTTGTTTACATGTGGGATTTGTCCAAATTTCAGCCACTGGTATGGCAGTATTGGTGCAAAACTCCTGTAAGAAGGTAAAGCACTCTTTGCACTAGTGGAGCTTACCCCTTCCTGAAAGCAGGTTATGCTCCACTGGTGAAAACAGCTATTTTTGGCCTACCTTTGCTAGGGACTAGCCACTTTTGAAGTTCAAAACATGAAAGTTTCTCTTCTGTTTCATGCCATAATTTAATGCATGATGTCCAAAAGCTACAGCAATTCTTGATATGAACAAATATCGTGTAAGTAAGGTCAGTTGATATAGAGTTCTGAGAATCTTAATCTGTCATTTCTGCAACCTGCCATACCTGTCATATCACACTTCATTATTCTGTTTTGTCTTCAATCTTTTTTGCAGCCGATACATAACATATCAACTTTGACAAAAATTCAGAGAATTTACATCAAGATAACTAGTTTTGATTTGGTGGTGGGTAAAGAGATTGCACTGTATCTAGACTTCTTACCTTGTAACAAGAAATACTTATGTACCACTGTCTTTATAATCTCTAGTTCAAGGAACTACACTGTACCAGATCCTCCTGGATTATTTGATGGCCATGTCTGGCCCATGTATGTTAAACATAAGAAAATAATGGAGGATTTCGAAGTGGATGTGGGTAAGTATATTGGATGGTGGAAGCTCAAGACTAGTGTATAGGGAAGTTTGTTTCTACTGTCTGCTCTGGGAGAGGGGGTACAATTTAAATAACTTAATTCAGTGAGTAGATTTGAACCAGTGCTACTTGTGATGTATGTAAGGCAGTTAAACTTCTTTGGGATTGGTCTAGTTCCTGGCCTATGTTTTAAAAAAAAAAAAAACTAGAGATTTGATAGGATTGTAATTCTAGGATGTTATCAGGATGTTTTTGTCTTCATTCAGAAATGTCTCAATTGTAACTTTTAAAAATATTTTTAAGTTCAATTGGATGGAACAAAATCAAAGGAGGAGCTGTTTAATGAAGTTTATGAACAGATCCAGAACAAGATTGAGAAACTGCTGCTTATGCAGGTAAAAAACAAACATGAAGCGTACCTCACTGCAATGGCAAACTGGCTTAATGTTTCTAAAATGAACAAGAGTAACTTTTTAAATACTTCTTTCAGAAACTCAGTGATTGCTAGTTGTACTCAGTAGAAGGGGGACTACTAGTGTTTTCAGACAGGAAAACAAAGCTGTTAATTGTGTACACTATTGTAAGTGAGCCTCTTATGTATAATGTCAAACACTGAAATTTTCTTCGTTTTACAGAGATAGACAAGCAGCCGATGGATTCCTACGATCTAAAAAGAAGCCTGTTAAAACTAACTTTTTTATGCGTACCAGACTTTAGCAGTTAAGCTTCTGCTTGTTAAGATTTCCTTTTTCACTTTTTAAAATTGGACTTCGTTCAGCTTTCACCTGAAACTCATGGAGTTAAATGTGGCCTTGATTAAAGCATTTCCCCTCCATGAAGTCTCTGTAGTTTAGTTCATGCTTAAAGTTTGAGACAAGCTTCCATATCCTAGATATAGAGAAAAGTAGTTGTCCTTGGAATGGGCCTGTATTTTAAATTTATATGCATTTATTTAGACTTTGACTTCTTGAATATGGTAGCACACTTGCCAGTTGGAAGTACAATGGCACTGCCATTGTCAATAAGTCCATACTCTAAGTTACAACTGTATCCTTTCCACTATTAACACTTCCCATTCAATGCTGAAGGAAAAGGCATAAAAATAATCTGAAATGACAGTACACTTGAGATTCTATTGGGCAGCATTAAATGTGATTACAGGCATGTAAACTTGAAGAAATTCTCCCTGATTAAAAAATGGTTTGTGATGAAATGGAACTCACTTGTGGGGTTAGGGTAAATGGAGTGATTTCTCCCTACCCCCCCCCCCCCCAAAATTAAAAGCATCTGCTATCTTGGATTAAAGAATGGGACTGTTGTGAAAAGCAGAAATGGAGAAAATAAGGTGAGTTTTTGTAATACATCTTATTTGATCCTTATAATACAACCCTCCCCTCCCATTTGCTTACATGGGAATGTATTGTATTATAGGAGCAAAGGCTAGCAGGATCCTAAAATGTAACTAGTTTGACATCTTTATCAAATTCTAGCATGAGCAGAAGTGACCAAATAGGTAGCCATGGAAGGTGTTAGGTTTAAGCAAAAACCATTTTCAGTGGCACAGGAACACCTAAAGTAAATAACAGGTAAAACAGACAGAAGGGATTGAAATTGATGACCATCTAAACCTACTACAACTTAGTCTCCCAGTGCAGACTTTTAAAGTAAATACTAATTAACACTTAAACTATATTACACTTGTTTAGTATTATGGTATGCTCCCTCAGATTTCCTGGCTTCCTTAGAGTAGTATATAGCCTACAGAAAGGTGTACTTTTTTCTGTGCTCTGACTCTCAATAAGTCCTCCTATTTTTAAAAAAGTCCCAACTTATGTGTCAAGAGACTTGGCTCTTACATCCATAGATGCAAACTGTGTCCGGTTCTGGCTGCCACCCTGTAAAAAAATGTGGACAAATTGGAGAAAGTCCAGGGGAGGAGAACAAAACAAACAAACCTGGGCATGTTACTTGAGAAAAGACGACCGAGGGAGGACTTAAAGTATGTAAAGATCTTAAAAGCTATTAAGAGAACTGTGATCAATTGTTTTCCATGTCCTTTTAGGTATGACAAGAAGTAATGAGTTTAACCTAGATCTTGCCTTGCAAGGAAGATCTAGGTTAAAGTATTTTCCTAATATCTATCGATAAGTTTAGTTAAGCTCTGGAATGTGTTTCCACAGGAGGTTGTGGAATTCCCTAATTGGAAGGGTTTTTTAGTTTTGTTTTAAAAACAATTTGGACAACTGTCATGGATGTCATAGGTTTATTTGGTCCTGACACTGCAGAGGCTTGGACTTGACTTCTTGATGTCCCTTCCATCTCTACATTTCTATGAAACTGTATAGTCCCTCACTTTTTCCATTGAGGGTAAGAGCAAAAGGTTACAGTGACAGAAATGCACTGTTTTGGAGATACAAGTTCATTTTCTATACTCTACACAAGTACAGTGGATTTTCCACAAGTAGTGTCCCTTATTTTGCCTTTGCTCTCCCCTGATATTTAGAGCTTCAATTTCATCTTTTGCACCAGTCCAAGTCAGGTTTAAATGGATTTGCCAAATACTAGTGTAAATGAGATCAGAATTTGGGTTCAGGTTCTATCTGATACATACTATCTAGACTTTCCCCTTGACTCTCCCATGTTAGGGGGATCCACACTGACCAAGAAACACAAATGGCCTCTTCCTGCTCAAGTACAGGGGGTATTTTTCTTTATTCTTAAGCTGTAACTTGCTGCTTTTTCATTTCTTTGCTTTCAAGGCTTGCTTCTCCTACCTTGCTGACTATTACTACAGCATTGTGTGTTGTGAACAAGTGGAGGAGAAGGTTAGCATCCCTTGTTCTCTTCCTCTGACTTCATCCATTTCATGACTTTATCACCTCTGATCACATTTCCTAAATCTGGAAGCTGCAGCTCTTGGCTGTCTATCATCTCAAACTTCTTCCATTTAGCCCAAGATGACAACTGGAAATGAAGAATGCTCTACTGGTGAGGATGCTAATGTGGGCACTAGGAGATCCAAATTCAAGTCTCTTCTCCATGACAGATTGACGCTGGGCAAGTCACCTAATCTTTGTTCCTTTCCTCAAAGGACTGTTGTGAGAGGCTCATTCTGGTGTAAGCAGTATCAATAGAACTCTATCCTTATTGTCTTCTAGTGTTGCAATTGCTGTTATTCTGGTCTTAGCTCTCCTTCCCTCCTATGTAGTCTTTTACCAAGACCTGCCAGTTGGGGCTGTTTTAAGATCATTGATATACAACTGTCTTGCTATCACCATTGCTTAATACTTTATGCAGCAGTCATCTCATTTGGACTACCTGAAGTATTTTTTGCCTCATAACAGAGGAGGGAAAGTTAAATCTGAAATACAGCTGACAAATCTTCTCTCCCCCATTCTCCACTTTACAGGCTACATGAAGTACAAGATTTTTGTCCTTTTTATGGCCTCCTTCTTGCCCTATTCTTGTTTGCTCTGGATGTTTATTCATACTACTGCCTAGTTGTCTTCAGATCCCTCCTTAATACAGTTTAAATCAGCCATCTGTTCTCCAATCCATTCCCCATTCTTCCCTTGTTTTAAATTAGACTAAACATTCTTAAGGAATGTTAGTATTGTGTAAATTTAAAACACTTTTTTGAGGGGCAGAGCCTGAGTTTGACACCTCACCCTCAATTTAGCAGTTGTCTATCCAGGGTAGCTTCTATCAACTGCCACCTCAAATTAAGTCCACTATTGATGGGGTAACATCTGACCTTCCCAGCCATGGCTTTAGCACTTGCTCTGAAATTGCCATTGACCACTTCGATCTATCAGCACAATCCCCTTCCAGCATAATATCCATCACTACGGTCTTTCCTTACCCTGATATACAGTGACCTGCTATAACACCAATTCTGATATAACGTGGTAAAGCAGTGCTCCGGGGGGGCAGGGCTGTGCACTCTGGCAGATCAAAGCAAGTTTGATATAACGCAGTTTCACTAATATGTGGTAGGATTTTTTGGCTCCCAAGGACAGTGTTATATGGAGGTAGAGGTGTAATTGTTCTTACATGGTTCCCCTAAGGACACCTATGGGGCAGATCAGTGAGAGGGAGAGAGATTGATTCCTTCCTTCCTGCTTCAAAACCTACTGTGTTGGGTGGAGAAAAAGCAGCAACAGAGCCCCTGGCATGTATGTAGGGGGCAGGGGGGAATGGAGGAATGCAAGAAGCTCCTGCTTTGTGCAGTAAGTTTGACCTATCGACAGAACAGCATGCCCTAGTTACATGTACTTAAATTAAGGGAAGGTAACCATTTTAGTACTACCCAAACCATGAATGCCATGAGCAAACTAATGAATAAAGGAAGTCTCATCTATCAGTATTGCACACACAGCTAAACTTCCCCTTTCCTGTCATTTTTTAAATCTGGCTCTAGACTTGTCTGAACTCCAGTCAGGATGAACAGAGGTAGAGAGGCCTGTTCTGTGATTAGTGCTGAAACTAGAACTTCCTCTAACTTGATAGGAACTAGATCATGCTGATGGGTGAATGACAAACTATTAAGCCACTTAACTAAAAATAGGTAATTTATTCTATGCTAGATAGATATCCAGTGTTTTGAACTGAAACACCATTTAGATCACTAGTCTGCATATGCAGACTAACAGATGTCTTACAATAACAGAAGTTTAAATGATACATTTAATATTGGAAGGTATATAGCAGTTATTATGTAGCTCCTATTGTTTCCATGCTGACTAAGTGTACAAAGTAACAATCAGATGCAATAGGCTTTAGTAAGTAAACTTACATAGAGTGGGATCTTAAAGAGACACAATCAGTTATTTAGAGTTGGGTTCAGACTCACTCCTTTGTGTTACGATACTCTCGTATGGTACCTATCATCAGTAGAAAACTATCATTTCCACCCCACTGTTCCACCATTAACCCCAATGACATTTTAGTAACAAGACATCTTACATTACTTTTAAATTCAAGGTTTAATTTTCACCAGAAGCAAAACCTGGTCTTTGATAAATCAAGTACAATATCCACAGAAGTATGTGCTATTATTTTTGAGAGAACAGGTGTGTGTTTTTAAAAGTTGTTCCTTTTCTTAGACTTAGTTCTGGCCAGTAAGCAAAGTTGATTGGATCATCATTTGAAACCAAGATGCATCAGATTTCTTATAGGAGCAGGACCTCCCCAGTAGCCTCTAAGGGGTGGAAAAACAAAGTTTTAGCCACTGTATACTACATAAATTAGACCACCTTTCATTGTAACTGAGTAAACTTTACTATTGCTTCTAGCTAGCACCACAACCATTACAAATACAATGCTTCAAGTTTTCTTTCAGGGAACAGGGGTCTTTTTGGATATAGTTTCATGGGTTTACTAGTAGGTTGCAAATAGATGAGCAGGAAATTAAGGAGAGTTCTAAGAGCATAATGGGGTTTCAGTATTGGTAATGTTTTATCACCAGCACTGATTTGGGGAAAACAATTCTTGACTGCATAAAATGCTTTGGATGATAAGAAACAGTCTTGCTCTTTTAATGATATTAAAAGTCAGAATATTTAGTATTGCTGGATGTGTCAGCCAAAGTAATTCAGATATGTTAGATCGGGGTGGCCAGCCTGAGAAGGAGCCAGAATTTACCAATGTACATTGCTGAAGAGCCACAGTAATATGTCAGCAGCCCCCCCCCCC